TGCCTTGTTTGGTCAAGCGACACAAAAGTTGACAAATAAATCAGAGTTTGGTGTAATTCACAGCCAATTCTTATCAATAGCAAACTGGACTCTTGCTCTGCAAAATACCACTCTGAATAGTTTATCCTCTTTTCTGGGGGAGTTACAAACAAGTTCAATTTTAAGAGATGAAATTGTTTGCTTCTGATAGAGAAGACAGATGAGCATTTTATGGAAAAACAAAAATTAGTGCTAACAAACATCAGAACTGGTATCAGACTATTTTGAAAGCAGAAAATTAGTGGTTTTGAACTTTATTTTTAACACCTTTTATTATTAGCAGCCCTATGAAATTTCACCTACAGTGGAGAAAACAAGTGTTCCCAGTGTGTAAGTGATACAACTAAAGAAGTCAGCACGTCAAACAAGTTCCTTTGACTCCCTAATTTTCAGCTACAAAGTAAGAATTTAAAATGCTGACAAGCCTCTAAGATTGTGACCAGAGCACCTGACTTCAGAGTACTTTAAATTATAACATTTGAAACCTGAATTCAAACTTAGAATTGTATATTTTATGTTTCTGAAACACAGAGACAAAGCAGCTAGTTATCTACCACGTTACTATTCAGTTCTTTCCTTTTTAGGGTTAATCGTGTAAATGTACTAAAAAGATATTTTACAGACACAGTATCCTAATCATAAATACCTGCTGCTCCAGATTCCTGGCTGTAACTAATAGATGAGGAACGAATTGTTCTCAGGCGCAGACTTTGAGCTCTCTCCTGGCGAGCAGCATCGCAGGTCTGGTTGGGATGCCAAATCTGCTTACAGTGGTAGCAAAACTCAGTTCCGCAGCCTTCTCGTCCACATGTAAGTTTGGGACAGCTGGCACATCCAAAAGCAATCACAGCATATCTTGAATGATCAAGAGGGGCAAGAGAGAATTTTGTTAATAAAACCAGTTCCATCTATAGACTGAAGGAGACAGGACAGCTGCCAGAGCAGATGAAGCAGGTACAAAGGCAGTGGACATCAGGAGTTGACATTAGGTGGCCAGCACAGGTTCTCTACCACCTCTTGCCTCAACTCTAAATCTACTGCATTAGATTAAGACTGTACAGAAATACTATAATCAGTGCAACACTTTGCTCTGCCCCACCTTAATAACTTCATGCAGTACTGAAATACTCTGTATTTAAGGCTGAATGCAGTACTGTAAGGTTTACGGTCACAAAGCATCCACGGTTCAGAAGAGGGGGACAATAAAACCAAAAAAAGGGTATTTAAGCAACTAGAAGTTATTGTTTCAAAAGTGTCCCAGTTGCTATGGGCATGTCTAAGCTTGACCCTTTCTATAATCTGGGAGAATCCCTGCTAAATGATCTGTAGTGTAATCTGTTACTGTAAAGGCATCTGACCTGGTACTGGGTGACATTTTAGTATTTTACCAGTTGTCTTTTATCGTGAATACCACTATCTACTTCAAACAGATGTTTGTTTACTCTTTGTATTTTAAAATGTCAAAATAACAAAGCAAGTATTTTATAAATAAGGATTTTCTCAATTATCAAGACAATTTCATTTTTTTGACAATTTTTTAAATACATTTCAAACTGTAAATGCAGAAATTGATAAGAGTTCAGGGTCTCATTGCCATCTTTACTCCGACAATACTATAAAGCAAAAAGCTCAGAAACATTGAAACTTACAAAACTGTGTTGCCCTGTTTTGTAATCAGACACTACATGAACAATTCTATACAATGACAGAGTTGTTGCCACAAATCCATTTGTCCATCAGGTTTGCATTTTAAAGTTCACATAATAAAAATACAGATAATGTGTATTGTAGTTCATATTAATACAAAATATATATACACATACACACACATGCCTTAATTCCTACCCACTGTAATTTTTTTCCAATGATTTTATGCAATAGTTTTCTTTTAAATAGAAAATAATAAGAGGTCCACTGGTATGAACATCTAAATAGATGCATGGTTTTATTCACATGAACAGTCCCCCAAATAGACTCCCACAGATGTAAAAATGCAGCAGGGCTTAAGTTTATGGCTGTTCATATGAAGGCAATTTTATTTTAAAAGACAAAACTGTTTATTTTTACTCCCTGCCTAATTTATAGCAATTGCATAAATTAAGTCAAAATATTCTTTATCAGTAATGGTATTAAAAAAATTACTCCCACTCACATATCTACCTGAAAGATTAGCTATTTTTCTTTTAGAGTAGCTACATCTGAAGATTTGTGAAGTTAATGCAAATCCTATCCCTTTCATTACTGTTTTAAAACAGCATGTTTGAGGTTCCCCTCCAAGAAGTTCTGCAAACAAATAGGAGTTTTCAATCTTTAACTGACAGATGATGCAGTTACAAATAAAAATGAGATATATGCTTATCTGTTTTCAAATATTTCTTACTTTCCAAGTAAAAATTTGTTTCGGTAATTGCTAACTCTTCTATATTGTTGCCAAGCTAATCAGCTCTATTTTCCCACTTACTGTAACTGAAGAGGATAATTGCTTTGTACGTACACAAAGACACTCTGATCCAAATGCTTCTTCAACATACAGGGATACATCCAAGACTCACTAATGTTGTATCAAAGAATCTCAAGTGTAGCCCACAGAATGAAGTATCAATTTATATCCTGTCTCCCATTGCTAACAAAGAATGGGCGCATCCCTGAAAGCACTCCTCGTTGGGGATTGATGTATTGGCATACCTTTAGAAAGTTAACTCTTTAGACCACAGTAAATCTCAGTTCAAACTGCAGAAGATTAAAGGTTTCATTTCAACGTTTTGCATTCATTTCACAGGTGATGTGAAAGCCAAAAGCTCTTGTTAGGCTGAGAGAAGGGACAACGAACCAAATTCAAAGTAATAACAAGTAAAACAAAAACCATAGGCAAAGAGCAATTAAACTGAGGAAAGAATGTACAAGTGAGAAGAGAAGAAGAACAAAGAATTTGTACTCTCTGTCCAGTCTGCTTTTTGCTTGAGAAAGGTAAAAAAATCTAGGAATCACTGCTCTCTTCTAATAATGTCAGCAATACAATCTCAGAGCAAAACCACTAAATAATTCAGACAGAAGAAAAGACAGAACACATTTGGAATACTGATTCACTATGGCTTGTTAAAATGACATCGGAAAACTGATATGCAGAAACAGAATCTCGAAAAATTAGTCTGGAACAAAGCCCCAAAGGTTTCCTTATCTGTGCTCCTTCCCCAGGCAAAGATCACCTATTTGCCAGTGTCCCTCACGAAGCCACTGCAGGGAGGTTGCAGCCAGTCCAGACTTTTACTGTTTCAGGTAACAGCAATGGTCAGAATGCATTTGAGGTTGAGGTAGTCCAGGGTCAGCAAGAGCGTGGTGCCAGCAGTACGGATCCATTTTCGGCATTAGACTGTGAGAGACCCCGCAGCTTCCAGGTAGGAGCATTAACTCCCTCGCCCAGGGCGTAACTACTGCAGCAGAGATTCTCCTCCAAACCAATCCACAGTTCTCTTGTTGGGAAGATCATAAGATCTCCACTGGAACAGAAGTAGTAGCAATGCACTTAATACTGCAGTTAACTTTGATTCAAGATCTATCTGGTTCCAGGTTTGCCATCTCTAGGACCTATTTTTACCCCAAACAGAGTGAACGGTCTCAAGTTGCGCCAGGGGAGGTTCAGGTTGGATATTAGGAAGAACTTCTTCACTGTAAGAGTCGTTAGGCATTGGAATGGGCTCCCTAGGGAGGTGGTGGAGTCACCATCCCTGGAGGTGTTCAAAAAACGTTTAGATGTGGCACTTCAAGACATGGTTTAGTGGGTTTAGCAGGCATGGTGGCATCAGGTATACGGCTGGACTTGATGATCTTTGAGGTCTCTTCCAACTGTAAGGATTCTATGATTCTATGAAAGACAGCTGAAAAAGAATACCTTCTTAACTATTCTTTGCTGTTTCCTGAGAACACAGGGGCCCACGATGT